TGCAAACCCAGTCACATTTCTTAGAAAGGTTGAAATTCTCTGCCAGAAGTGACTTTCTGCATTTCTCCAAACACAGCAAAGCAAGGAGAATCCACTCACTTTCAGTAACTGCTTAAATTCAGCTGGTTTCCAGAAATACCCAAACATCAACTGAATAGAATAAGTGGTGTAAAACTGAGCTCCAACTGCCCTGAATCAGGTACTGAAGGAAAAAAAAGAAAGAGAAGCTATTTCTTGTATTTGACTGTCAAATCAGCATTTTCCTTCCTTTATCTACTAAGAAACCGATGCAAAAGAGCATTCTGAAAAGCATCTGAGGATTTTTAATTACAAAATATGAGTATTGATTGTCAAAAAACTAAAACCCGCTTCCATGACATCACTGCTGCAAAATAAGATAACTTCTTCCTATCCAAGCAGGAAAGGTTGTTTTCTGCGGCTGGAGGATGAAAAATGACTTAAGCACAAGCAGAAATACAATATTTCCTTCAACTAATGTATTTCTATGGGCTTAAGTATTTACCATCTGCTTTTAGCAGTGTGTTTTTACTCCAAGAGAGCTGCGATTTCAGGGAGGCAACGATCAAAGCCTCAATGACTGCTCAAAACAAAACCCCCCACACCAGGCTCTGAAGCAACTTCTGAGCAGCAGCAGCAGCACAATTTGCATCATCTCTTGCAAAACCCACACTTCCCCGTCCTCTCCAGGCCAGCCCTGCTCAGGGACTGATCCTTTCCAGCCTGAGCTCCTGCCCATCCTAATGACGGCTCCTGGGGTCTCCCAGCTGACTCCCAAGAAGGGTGGAGGACTTTGTTCCATGGAAAGATGCAGCCAGCTCAGCCAGTGCAGTCAAAATTCAAACAAGCACTGAAGAGAACTGGATAATTAAATCCAAATGCCACTCCCAAGCCTTTCCAGCAAAAGGGTGTCATGGGCTGCTCCTGCTCTCTTTGGCTGGGTTTGAGTCAGGAGAAGGTGAAGGATGGATGGCTCTCCCAGGGACAGAATGCCAATTGTCAGGAATTGGGAAAATCCTGTTCTCCTGATCCAGCCCTGGCAGGACCCAAATATTCTCCAGCCTTGTGAGAAGGCAGCACAGCCAACACCTCCCCAGGCCGTGCCATGGCTCCAGAACAGAACATCTGTGAGTTGCACAACACTGATGAAGTATCCTTGGAGCTCTGTGGGCTTGGGAGACTCCTGGAAACCTTTCAGGTTCCTGCTCCTGGACAAGCTCCTGGCCCAGCTCCACTCTGGCATCATTCTGCACAAATTCACTTAAGGTACTGTGGGGCTGACAGGATGAATTGTACAGCAAATCCCACTTGATCTCCAACACAACATGAAAACAGGATTATTTCTACCATGGAAGATCAGGACAGAGAAAAGCTGATTATAGAGACAGCAAAAATGAAACATAAAAATAAATTGTGTTTAGAACTGTCCCTCTGTCCCCAATGCCTCTTTTTCCATCCTCAGGTTTCAGCTGTTTCCCTTAGCAGGAAACTCATTCCTTTCTTCTCTGCTTTCCACCAACACACTTAATTTTGTGCTTTTTAAATCAGCTTCCTGTGACAAAGCCTGTTTGATCATGCTGCCAGCCCATCCAACCAAGGATCACTTCCAACCAAAAATAATAGATGTTTCAAAAGATATTAATTTCCCAGGGGTTTGGGGGTGGGGGCAAATATCCACAGCCACACAGAGGAGAGGAACACACAGGAGCAGAAAGCCAAGAGCACTCCCAAGAATCAATGACCAGTGAAGCTCCAGCAGACAGGGTTTGTATTTTCATTAAAATACACTCATCCATTTTGGCAGGATCCTTTATCAAAACCAGAATGCCTCCTGCTCTCATCAGGTTTTCAGCTCTGCAAGATGTTAGGGCTTGCAAGTCCCAGGCACTACCAGAGTGAATCTGGTACTGACAGAACCAGAGGAGACAAGCTGCACCAAGGGAAGTTTAGGTTGGATATCAGGGAAAAGTTTTTCACAGAAAGAGTGATAAAGTTCTGGAATGGCTGCCCAGGGAGGTGGTGGAGTCCCCATCCCTGGGTGTGTTTAACAAAGCCTGGATGTGGCACTGGGTGCCAGGGTTTGGTTGAGCTGTTGGGCTGGGTTGGACTCGATGATCTTGAAGGTCTCTTCCAACCCAGACATTCTGTGAATTCTGTGAATTTTGTCAATCTGGGGCATTTGTCTACTTGGCAAAATCAGCCAGGGAGTGACACCAGAAAGGCAGCAGACATCTCTCTGCCCTTCAGAAACACATTTCCAGGGCTGCTACGTGGCCTTGGCTGCAGCCTGCATGGGGGAGAGAGGAACCTGGACTTTCAGTCATAGTACAGCAAGTTCACTGCTCAAGGAGAGGAAAAAAAAGTTTTGAAAAGGGAGAAAGAGAAAGCCTGAAGGTCAACATGGACCACCCAAAACAATTCGAGAGTCAGGAGAGAAAGCAAATGAAGAAGGGACAAAGGAATAATTTAGCTGTGCTCAGATGGTCTAGACACTGCTGTTATTGTTGGCTGCACTAATAGGTCATTGCTAAGAGGCAGTTTATGGTAGTTCCATGAAGCTGCTTCCTTCAACACTGAAATAATAATAAAAAAAAAATTAAAAAAAAAAGGCAGCAGCTGGATGAAGCCCACAGAAGCAAAGCAGATCCTGTAAAAAATGATGAGCTCTGATTTGGGCCTCTCACATACACACCAGGCAGAACCAGGGCTGGGAAGAGTGGGGAAAAGCCCTGGG